TCGTAAACGCACGATTTCAGCGTAAAATCGAGTTTTTTGTACGAAATCGAGGTCTAAACCAAAATATCATAATTTCATCACAAAATTGACCTTTGGCACCATTTAAAATGGTTGAAATTGGCCCAAATTTTGGCAAACATGTTTTTTTACCAAACGTCATCGATTGCCGCCTGGGGAGCGGAACATTTCAGACTTTCATTTTTTTTGACGCACCCTAGTCCTCCATCAGATGCCGCACTCTTGATCAGCCCTTTAGGGGCCGTCCCTTAATGGCGTAACGCTCCAAGAGGGGGAGGGTTCTTTGCTAGGGATTTACAGTGGGGGTGGGGGTGGGTATAACCATGGCGTCACGTAACGAGTTCAGATAATTTTTTTTTAGTTTCTGTAGAATTATTCCTCGGTCGTCTTTAGACATTTTAAAAAAAATTTGAAAATATTATCTGCAATACATTCACTTTTCCTCGCTAAATAGAAACGCTAATCTGATCAGTAAATGTAAGGTGATTAATGAGATAATAAAAAAAACACTATGAAGTGGCCTAAACTGTATGTAACAAGGTGGAGAAATGGTGCTGGGTCCACACCAATTCGCGGGGAAACTTCTTTGAAACTTTGGGACTTCTTGGCTTTGTTTTCCCCGCGAAATGGCGTGGACCCAGCACCATTTCTCCATCTTGTAATGTAAAAAGATTTTTAGATTTTTTTTTAATCGGAATGGGGGGAGGCTGAGCAAGCGTTACGCAAATTTTAGGGAGGCCTAGTACAGCGTAAAAAAGCGCGTTAAGGAGTGGTAGGGGGTGTCAAGAAACTGTAAATTTAGCGTTTCGTAAAAGGGACAGCCTCTAAACAGAGTTTTTCCTCTGAGAGGCCCCATGATGGTTTTTACAATTACTGCGGGGGATTCAACAGATCTCTACCACCCAATCTTCGAGTAAAATTCAACGATTTAACTTGAAAATAGATTCCTTTGAGAAATCACAATGGTTCGTTACCTCAGAAAATGTTCAGATTTTCAGATACTTTAAGGAAGCTGCGGGACGATCTAATTTTTCAGAGAATCTGAGGTTTTAAAAAATATTGATTGGAATTGAAGCATTAACTGTGGTTTGCAACGATGCAATCGAGGTAAATAAGCTCCTTTTCGCGCGGAATGAACCATCGATATTTGAGTTCGTTTACGGCAGGCGTAACATACAACTATTTGACCACGGGTGTACGCATGTTGCAGCTCCGCCGGATTGAAGGCGCGTCAAACTGCGAAGATGTCTTCATCGCCCTACCGACCCTCGCCGGCCGGACGAACGCTAACATCGCTGCGACACTCAGACGACACGTCATTATTTCTTCTAGTTTTCACCATTGAAAACAATCACTATCCTAATAGCTACGATTTAGAATCAGGGACCGTGGTTTTTGCGGCAAAAAGAAAAAAAGGAATATAGGACTAAATATACTTAATATCGCGACGATATTTTCTGTGATTTCAATTAAAATCGTTCGTTAAATTACTGTAAATTTTTCAGAGAATCTGGGCGTAGGTTTTATAAAACATTGATTGAAATTGAAGCATTAACTGTGGTTTGCAACGTTGCAATCGAGGTAAATAAGCTCCTTTTCGCGCGGAATGAACCATCGATATTTGAGTTCGTTTACGGCAGGCGTAACATACAACTATTTGACCACGAGTGTACGCATGTTGCAGCTCCGCCGGATTGAAGGCGCGTCAAACTGCGAAGATGTCTTCATGCCGGACGAACGCTAAAATCGCTGGACATTTAATGTTTTATATCATTATTTCTTCTAGTTTTCATTATTAAAAACAATGACTATCCTAATAGCTACGATTTAAAATCAGGGACCGTGGTTTTTTTTCGGTAAGAAGCAAAAAGGAAAATAGGACTATAAATATACTTAATATCGCGACGAAATTTCCTGTGATTTCAATTAAAATTGTTCGTCAAATTACTGTTCTTCCTATGTTTTGATATGTTTTATTGAAAATGCATAGTACGTTGTAATGACCTGCAAATTAAACTCTGTCTCACGGGGAAACAAAGCCAAGAAATACCAAAAATTAAAATTAGAGTCAAAAATAAATTTTTAGAACTCTAATGCGCACCAGTATGAAACTGAGGGGGGGGGGAGAGTGTTCAGCTCAGGCAGTCTGCAATGGAATATTAAGTTGGAGTCACGCCGAGAGATCTTCTTGGTATTTCTTGGCTTTGTTTCCCCGTGAAATGGTGTAGACCCAGCACCATTTCTCCATCTTGTTAAATACAGTTTCGGGCCACTTTTTAGGTTTAATTTTTTAATTTAAACTCTGTCTCTTGTTTACCAAGTAGCGATGAAATATGAGGATGTTTAATCAATCGAACTAAATTTTATAATTAGAAACTACATGTTCCAGCTCACCCATACAAATATGAATGTTCACAGGGAAAGTAACGGGACATACGTTCTCTCTCAACTGATTCAGACATTGTAGTTTTTTAATTGCAAAATGTAATCCGATTGTATATTTTATAAATTATTTTAGTGGAGTGAGCTGACGCCAGGTGCGACAGCCACGATTTTCCTCCCATTAAAAATGAATTGAATAGCGATACACCCAGCATAAAATGATGCTTACTTTCTGTTTCCAGAGGTACGAACAATTAAGAATAAAAATCTTGGGTGACTGCTACTACTGCATCAGTGGTGCTCCCAGGGAGAGGCCAGACCATGCTATTCTCAGCGTTTACATGGGGCTCTCCATGGTGAAAGCTATCAAGTAAGTCGTTCTTTGGTGGAAAAATGCACAAGATAATTACTTTCATTACGAAAGCCTTTTCTCACGCCCAGTGGATTTCTTTCGTCCATTTGCATGTTTATTCATCGTCATAATTTATCTCTTTCGTCATTCGGTAAAAGGGAGGTTGAATGAGTTTGTCTGTGCTTAATGAGGGGATGATGCAACCCTTATCGACGTCAACCCCGAGGAGAGGGATAATTCCATTAGAGCACACGGAGAGTTTTCAACTTTCCAACTCTCTAACTTTTCGTGGCCCTTTATATTGATTTTTTACCTCTCCATTTTTTTTAAACGATATGTTTTTCGTATATTCCGCATTTTCTTTATTGAATGTCAGTCTTAAGATGAGAATAATCATTACTATGAGTATTACCATAAGCTCTCTGGCCCTTTAAATTTTCATTTTTTATCGTGCTTTTTTCGACACCGTTCTATTGGGCCGATTTTCATGATTTTTGCAGCTATAGACAGATGATAGTCCATCGATGAGCCCGCTTTATTCACATTTTAGAATTATGACTCTGGTGTTCTTTAGATGACGTGATAGAGTAGTGAATTCTTCCATTCAAACAATTTAGATGTTCATTTCTCTTCGGAGGTCGTTCTGAATTATTAAGGTGCTTCCTGCGAACACTCTACATATCGATCCTTTTCCATAGGTTTAAATGGCAGATCAATCTATACATCTCAAAGTACGCCACGCCACTGGTCGTGTAGCAGCCAGTGCACAATTTCGTTCTCAGCATCGCCATTATTTCACACACTTCTTCATTAAAGATGAGATAAGCCACAGGACTTCCTCGAATCAGTGCTGTCATTTTATTTTACCAAAGATTCCAGGGTTCCCGGAACTACTTTCAATTTACAAAAGTTCCGAGAAAAGCTCCGATTTTTTTCGAAACTTCCGGGAAAAATTCCGAGATACACCGAACTTTACTTCCGAAAGATTTTTTCTTCCGAAGATTGTCAAATTTGATCAGAGAATCGTTAAATGTGCTCTAACAATCGACCAAACTGACGAAAACCCCCAAAATGCCGAGGAATTTCAGAGAATAACTGGATATTCCGGGAAATTCGAGGATTCCAAGTAAGGTTCCGAGGAACTGCAAAAGTTCCGAAATTTGGAATTAATTCCGGGAAATAGCAGCACTGCCTCGAATCTCCTCTTCAACTGCCAGACCTCACTTTCGCCTGTTAGATTTTTACCTTATCTACTCTGAAAAAAAAGAATCTTAAATTTGCCGCCAAGAAGTATTTTTTCTTAAATTAAGAATTTCGGTGCCTAATATAAACTACTTTTTTGCTTAATCTAAGCCTTATTTTCTTTGTATCAAGAAAAATTCAGCTTAAATCAAAATAAAATTTCGGCGGCAATTTCAAGAATCATCAAGCTTGAGCCAAGCACATTTTTTTTCAGTGTAAATAATTTTGCTTTCGAGTTTTAAATGTTTGAAAAAAAATGGTTTTGTCATCAGGTACGTGCAACAGAAAACCAACTCTCCAGTGGACATGCGGGTGGGCATTCATACTGGAGCCGTCCTGGCCGGGGTTTTGGGTCAACGACAGTGGCAGTTCGATGTTTATTCCAAGGACGTGGAGCTCGCTAATAAGATGGAGAGCAGCGGTCTTCCAGGGTAAGCTCATCCTTTAATTGGAAGTGTTTATGCTAAAAGGAACTATGTGCATAGACTTTGCATGTAACATAGTTCCTTTCAGCAGAAATACGCCCAATTAGCTTACTATTTTACTACACTGAAAACCCAATAAAATCCTTTCACGTCCGCTCCTTCTTCCACTGGCTTTTAGTCATGATTTCACTATTCCCCATGCTTTACCGTCGGAGACGATCCTGCAATTTGGCAACACCGGATTCCCTCCATTTAAACCAATGTTAAATAATCGATTCTTGTCGGAGCATATGAACCCTTCAAGAATCGATGCATTTCTATAGGTTTAAATGGAGAAAAACAATGTTGCCAATTTGCTGGATCCGCCAATGTTTATCGTCGTAACTCAACGATAATTCATGATTTCTTCTGATCGTGTGTTGAATGTACAACCTTCAGCGCTCCAAAAATCAAATTAAGAAAGAAAATAAGCCGTCAGGACACATTCCATTCAGGCTTGAAATGGTTGCCCTACTAGCATGAACAATTTTAATTCACTTGTTTAAGTTGTCAAAAAGAGAATTATTACTTTTGAGGTATTGCTCCCTGACACAAAAACACGTCAGTGAAACGTGACTGACTCTAACTTCGAGAGTTGGTGAACGTATGGGTGTACCGTTCATACCTTCAAACACACGGTGTGATGTTTGAAGTATTTCCACGGTGTTGAAGGCGCTATAAACGCTGCCTGCCGACGCGCGATTTGTTGCCCACGATAAATGCATCTGGACGTTTTCACGCTAAAAGGAACTATCTTGCACGTAAACTATGTATGTACATCACATAGTTCCTTCTAGTATGCATAAATGCGTCCAATAGTGACGTTGGTTCTCGGACCTTCCTAATCGTGTTGCCAACTGTTTGTAGGGGGGGGGGGGGGGTCTTCTTATTGAAAAGAAATATGTTTTTAATCGAACTTATGACGAGGATCTTCTCGCGGGAAAAGAGCCGACACATTAAACTGGATAATATACATGTCATATGTGGGTAAATCCTCAACAATAGCCATATCACAGTAATTGGAATACGAATTATTAAAAAGCCCATTATGTTTATTGAAAATGTACTATTCATATGTATTCATCTACAAAGTGTTTGTTCTGCGTCGAATGCCAGCATGAGGGAATTGAAAGCAAGTATAAGCAATAAGTTTTCAAAAAACTTGATTTCAACCAGAAAACCAGGCCTTTTGGATAGAAGGCAACTCTCAATTCCGAAGTAACATTCAGGACAATTAAATTATGATAAAAAATTAGTTCGTTTTCGAGTTGTGCGAAATCATGCTTTAACAGTTAGCAAAAACCTAAAGAACCAACAAATAAAGACACATTTTTAAAAAAGTGAATCTCTAAGGAAATTACCCATTTAAACAACAAAGTTTGACTGTATTCAAGTAAATGGATATGCGACACCGAAATCTTTGAAACATCGTTGCATGTGCGTATTGCCGTTCAAAGGCTAACGCCTTCACGTTTTTATGCATGCAGCAAAGACGTCTTTGTAGCCTGAATAGTTACATGAATTTTGCCGTATTCCATGACGTATACATTCAACGGCTACAAAAAAAATAATGTGAATCTATTTGTTTGAGTGGCGTGGCGTGAATTGCGATATATCGATTGTTATGCCATTTAACCTATGGAGAAGGATCGATAAACAGGGTGTTCACAGCGAACACCTTAGTAATCGATTCTTTTCCATATGTTTAAATGGCATAACAATCGATACATCGCAATTCACGCTACGCCACTGATTTGTCCCACAAAGATCCCGATTGATTTGCCTCCAGGGTGTTCGTCGGGGATGATACTCTCAACACGCACTGTGAATAAATCTTCATCCGCGAATCATTACGACTTATTTAACGGCGTATATTAGCGAGCCAATCGGGGTATCAGTCATCATTAAAGTGGATTCGACGTTTGTCTGGAATTTCACCGTTGTGTTGACTGCACCATTGATCCGTCGTCCCTACGCACACTGGTCGGAAATGGTGTACGCCGCGGCAGGTCGGACACCGAGATATAATTACGAATGTTCGAGGATTTAAACAAGCACTGTTGTGTACGCGCAGTATGTGAAGTATTCCTGCAGTCTTGTAGGCGCTAATATGCGTTTTGCTCCCGCCGCATAGACTTGTCTACTCCAAGCCGTTGTAATAAAGTAAAAGCGAGCAATAGAGATTCCCAAAAGTAAAGTCTGTTTTCTTATGTTTATTTTACAGAATTACGTACCACTTATTTTACATAATTATTTGTTTTTTTCAAGGATGAATCCTTTAAAGTTTTGAAAAGATCAGACCATTAATTTATAAATTAGAATAAATGAATCAAATATCAACGATGAAAAACCACGTATTTCGACGTATAAACCACGTTTGCGACGTTGCAGACTTCCGATCATACTTCAAATAAATAGAAAACTACCCGACGTCAATTCTTTAAAACTCTCGTGATTTTTCTTCTCGGTGTCTGTAGAGAACTCTGTGAAAACTTCAAGGAATGATATTCATTCGATCTCCTTCAACAAAAATCAAATGGAAGCGGAACTTTTTAAAAACCGCAAACGAGATACCTCTTCTGATAGTTTTACCGTGGAAATGATTACTTTTTTCAAGTTTTCATTATTGAACGATTCGATGTGTTCGCTAGAAAAACTACTTTCTTTCAACATGAGGTGATCTAGTTTCTTAGTCTTCGCGTTTAAAAAGCAAGTTCGTCAAGACAATTAAATAATACAATTCATACTGAAACTAGATGTTTAATGGATTAATCTGCAACATCTCAGATTCTCCGTGCCAAAACAGGAATGCAGCGTTACATTTGAGCAACGTTATGATGAGATATGATTGCAGTCCGGTAACTGACTTTTAAACGTTGATTGCTTTCGATATAATTGAAATCTAATCGACGAGGTGCATGGACAGACAGCCCTTCGCTCTCTCTAGCTACCTTAGTGATCTCATCCGTAAATATTAAACCTTTAACAAGATTCTGACCCCTCGCCGTTCGCGCAACCCGTTAAAGCCTAAAATCCTAAGTAATCATGTTAAGAAAACTTTGGTATTACAATTGACGGAGAAAATTCATCTTNGGGGGGGGGGGGGTCACACTCAGGAGTGTATTTCAGGACAGGGTCGGACTGGCTCGCATCTAAGGGCGTAGACCCTAGGCTGGTTAAAGAGGCGTAATATATTTCCTGGTAGGGCATCCCCTACGTGGAGAGGGGCTCAGAAAATTTTGGCAAAGCAGCACAAGTTTACGCTATTTTCTGGTTCAAAGTTTATTAATCGCACAGAGTAAACATTACAAAATTGAACGTATTGAAGTAAACCGACAAGCTTCTGAATGTAAAGAAAACATTTCAAAAGAGCCGAGCTAGTGCTGCTATTTATTCGGGCTTAAAATGAGGGTATGCAAATCCAACGTAAAAAAGAATCAGACAAGAACCTGAAAAAAGAAGAAAGAACGAGTACATATCAACACAGCCGAATACAGGAAAGACGTATTCGGGCCTCTTTATAACTTCTCTCCCGAATCTGAGCGACACCTCATTGCCAGCATATAGAAGAGTATTGAGAGCTCACTCTTCGTGTCATCGCGCCTTCAATTTTTCGGATGCAGCACGGACGTCCGTCAAGTACGAATAGTTGTATCTCTGCGCCGTCGCAAACGAGCATCTTTTCCTTCCCTCTATTTTCATATTGTGTTTGTTTCCGTTTGTCTTATTAGTAATGGTGCTTCAAGCACTACATGAGTAACACAGCCGAAGGTAGGAGAGATGTGGTCGGGCCTTTTTTTTTAATTTTCTCCCGAATCTGAGCGACATCTCATTGACAGCATGTAGGAGAGCATTCAAAGATCACTCTTGGCGTCATCGCGCCTTCAATTTTACAGATGCAGCACGAACGTCCATGAAGTACGAATAGTGGTATCTCTCCGCCGTCGTAAACGCGCATCCTTTTCCTCCCTCTATTTTCATATTTTTCATATTGTTTCCATTTGTCACAATCGTAATGATGCTTCAAACTAGTAGCATAGAGCAGAGCATTTCGAGTTCACGACTCACGCCATCGCGTCTTACATTTTTCATATGCAATGTGGAAATCCATCTTGTGCGAATATTTGTATCGCGTTTACTCTTTAGATGTCTCTTATTTTTTAATTTAGAGAAAAATGAAGGTTAACATTGTCCTTAAAGTTCCCGAAAAGTTCCTTATCACCTCTATAATTCCAAGGTCTTTTGCCCCTTTTTGAGGGCGATTCCTTCAAATTTTAGGGATACCGAAAAGTATCTGTGATCTAGGAGTATTTACAAAATGTCAATTCTTTATCTCAATTTGTTCAAAAATTACACAGGTGATACCTCTGTTGCTGGCGGTACAGGACTTTCGGATCACCCTGTATTATTAATGAGAACAGGCCTAAAATTACTGACTAAATTAAAATCTGGGTGCTCTCTCGCCATGTTCAAGTATGTTGCTTTCAAAGTAGACCCCCTAAAAACGATAAAATGAAAATTGGTGCTTGACGGCTATCAAGGAAATGGCGGCCAAAAATAGGGGATGCGCAACTGCATAGGTATTGGGCCTCGATTGATTTTCATTCTAAAATAAATAATCCATCTAAAATAACGTGCTGGGCGCTCAAGTACATTACTGAAGTGGTTTTCGANAGTAGCAGTGACCGCGATAAGTTGTGATTTGATCGGAGAATGTATTGCAATTTTATCGACGTCGATTTATCGCAATATTATCCGATAAAAATTGCAATGGATTGCGATTTCATTGTGCATAAATTTGTAATAAAATCGCGATTTTATTAACGCCGATTTATTGGAATATTATCGGCCAAAAAATCGTGATAAATTGATTTATAATCTTGATTTTATCCAACGCGATTTGAAATGTATAAAATCGCTACAAGATCGAGTATAATCGCCAAAAAATCGTAAAAAATTGCGATATTTTGAAATTTTTGCGATTTTTTAAGATATGTTGGCGATAAAATCGCTAGGACGATGAACGTTTGAGCGATTACCCTCATTCTTGTCACGATTTTATCTCTATAAAATCGCGTTCAATAAAATCGAAATACTGTCTCTTTTTATCACAATTTTTTGTTTGATAATATTGCGATAAATCGTCGTCGACAAAATGGCGATTTTATCAAATTTAAGGCACAATTTTCAATGAATAGCAATTTTGTATCCGACGATATTGCAATAAATCTACGTTAATAAGATCGCGATACATTCTCCGACCAAATTGCAACTTATCGTGGGCGGTTAGGAAATAAAGGGGATCAAAATGACCTCTCTATCGGTTTCCGGGCCACGCGGGGTGGTTTGAGGAAGGGGCGGTTGAGTGGACGAAAAGCTGTTTGCACAAAAGTGCTCCAGCCCCTCTCACTGACAACTTGGCACCAGTGGCGTGGCGTGAATGATCGATTATCGATATCTCGCCGTTTGAAGCTATGGTTAAGAATCGATTATCAGAGTGTTCGCTGCGAATACCCTAATAATCGATCTTTTTTCATAGGTTTGAGTGGCGTATCAATCGATATATCGCAAAGCACGCCACGCCACTACTTGGCACAATATAATCAATAGAGCTTTTACATTACATGCGAGCAGGTGAGTTATAATTATGCCCGGCATATCTTCGCATCTATCTATCTTTTTGACGTGACCGATTTAGCCGCAATTAAAAATGAGTTTTAAAGTATTAAATCCACGGTATTGTCCAGATAATGGACGAGAGCAAATATCCCCTCGTAGAAAGCCATTTTTCAAATGAGCGTGTTGATAGACAATCGAACGAATCAAATCGAAAACAGATATACCTGCTTTAAAAACAGTGGCTTGGTTGCCGATTTTCGTCTACTTGCGAACTTTTATTTGATATGCTTGTCATTGACTCGTGAAATATTTAAAAAAAAAAAAAAAAAAAAAAGTAGGTATACATCAGACTGAGCTTGACCTTCCTTACCCATCGCAAGGATCGACAAGGCCCTCTCGACCCCGCCTGGCCCCCTCGACCCCTCAGAGGGTCACGTACTACATGAACAATCCCTATTAAAAAAATATCAAGCTATAAATGAATCATTTAATTGTAAGACAATGTGCGATTTTGTTTAAGTATGATGATTATATACACAATGGACTTAGACCAACGATTTCGCGAGGGATTGTTTCCTCTCTCTCTAAAAGCGAGTTTTGATTTTGTGTAGTTTCTCGCTTGAATTATACCTTCCCAAGAAGAAAAATGTTTATTTTGCTTTAATAACAGTTATTAATATTCCTAATTTTGTACCGGTTTCCCGTTTAATGATGCTTCCAATGAGGGGAAAGGGAGTGTTCATTTGCTATAATAACATGTATCAATGTACATAATATTACAACTGTAACTCAAAAGTACCCAGTAAGTGAGTCAGTACTGCCGTGCTAAGGAAAAACACCGTATGAACATTCGAGAGTTGCCAAATTTCCCCGTATAAAAATTGTATTATACGGAAAGTTACTCATATTTTTCCTTAAAAGTAGATATATCAGATCCAATTGCATGAAAAATTGTCTGAAAAATTTGAAGAAAAATATTCCAAATTTTCCTCGTCAATAATTCATATTTCTCTTACGTCTGACAACGTCTAAAGGCCCATACGGCGTTCTTTTTTAGCATGGCAGAGTATTACTATACGAAGACCTAAAAAAGATCTTCCAAGAACTCTATCCTCCACCTATATACTATACTTCATTCTTTGTTCATTACTCATACCTTCACTGAGGATTTATCCATACACATTTATGCCATGATCCCTGGCTCCTTAAAAACGAGCTCTCTTGATATTCATTTGCGACACAGCTTTTAACTTTTGAAAATCCGTCAATGAGATTGATGACCCGAGTAACGACGATCTACAAATAACTCGCTGAAAAACCACCACCCTCACCCCGGGGCTCATTCTTTTCACATCTATTTGAACCCTAACAATAGTAGCTCATCGATTATTCTGTTGCGTGTTTATACACTCCCCTAAACTATTATGAGCCCCTCATCAATCTGCTCTATTCTTGAACGAGTGCAGAATACTTCCATTACTCACTTAGAGTGGCGTGCTTTGCGATTTAGCGTTTGATCTGTCATTTGAACCTATGGAAAAATATCGATAAACAGTGTGTTCGCAACGAGCACCTTGATAATCGATTCTTTACCATAGCTTCAAATGGGGCGAAATATCGATAATTGATCATTCACGCCTCGCGACCGCACGCACTATACCTGGACGCTCGTGAAGCCCTGCTCCCTTAGACATCTGTTTGGCTCCTTACAGAAAATTTAAGGGAATTCTATAAATAAGTGCGTGACATTTTTCTCATTTTTGGAGTTTTATTTAAAACCAACTTTTCAATAAGAACAGCTCAAAGTGAATATTATGGAATGACAATTTTTTTCAAAATTTTCTAGGAGAGGCCTACAAACCCCTTTTGGTGCTGGAAATGTCCCCAGAGTCCTCATTTATAGGTGGTGTAGCTCAGTGGCGAAGCGTGCTCTACGATAAGTCGATATTTTCCCATTTGAAGCTATGGTAAAGAATCGATTACTAAGGTGTTCGCTGCGAACACCTAGTTTATCGATCCTTTTCCATAGGTTTGAAAAGGAGACGAATCGATATTTCGCAAAGAACGCCACGCCACTGCTAAGTGAAGCACTTCCGACACCGGTCGGTCCCCCCCCCCCCCGAAAAGTTTCTAGTTCCACATACGGCAGTACGGGGCACTGCAATGAGATAAAAAACAAATAAGAAATACAATTTTGAGCACGAAAAAAGACGAGCATTTTAATACCCGCATAAAATCGAAATGCATCAAAACTTGTTAACATGTAGAAACAATACTGACATGTCTGGTAAGCAACAACGCCAAAAAACAATATTGAAAATTGGAGAATTTATTTCATTACAGTGCTGAAGAATGGTGTGAGACGCCTTATTGTGAAATCCTTATCTAATTATGAGTATAGATCTTTTTATTTAAATATTCATGTTGAACATAATCTGCTTAAAACCTAGTTGTCTTTAATTAGTATATGTATAGGAATCCATTCTTCGAATGTCTTTCCAAGATAATAAAGAATATTAAAAAACATGATAAGAATGAAATGCGCTTCAAAACAATATGACAACAATATCATGTGTAATTTATTCTGATTTCAGGCGAGTTCATGTCTCTGAGAAAACTTTAAGCTTTTTGGACGGAGCTTTCGAAGTGGAGCCGGCTTATGGGGAGAAGCGGGAAGAAACTTTACGCTTAGCCGGAATTAAAACGTATTTCATCGTCGAGCCGAAGAAAGCAGTGAGTGCATGCCTCTGATTTTTCCCAACATTTCCCAACTCCTGGAGTTGAGCAGAATGAATTATTCTTGCTTGACAGGGTTACAAAAAGAAGAATACAACAGGAAAAAGGAAAAATTGAGTATATGAGGTTAAAATCGTCAAAACACAAAAAAAGGACAACGTTTCGAACAATGGCGAGGTGTGAGTGATCGATTATCGATATTTCCGCAATGGAGATGTTGTATGCGTGAGGAATTTGCGATTTGACTGTTGATTTTTGTGTAAAATTTTGCGAGAAACACGATGGTGCCACTGGTTTTCTGTGAAATCAACTCCCAAGCTCAAAAAAAGCTCTCAAGTTGAGGCCAAAATGGAGAGGATATCCCACGCTATCCTGAGAGTCCACCTCTACATCAAGACAAACTCTCCATGCGAAGATCGGGAGGAAATACATTAGCAGGGTTGCCATGTTTTCGGTTTTAGAGTCCCCAAATAAAGTGGCAGCCCTGTAAATGTATTTGCTCCCTACCTTTGCATGGAGAGTTTGTCTTGATGTAGAGGTGGACTCTCAGGATAGAGTGGGATATCCTCTCCATTTTGGCCTCAACTTGAGAGCCCTTTTTGAGCTTGGGAGTTGATTTCAGAGAAAACCAGTGGCAACATCGTGTTTCTCGCAAACTTTTACAAAAGAATCAATAGTCAAATCGCCATAAGCAACATCTATATTGCAGCTATGTTGAAGAATCATCGATTATTAAGGTTTTCGTTGCGAACATCCTGTTCATCGATCCTTTTCCATCGCGGTTTAAAAGGCAGATCAATCAATCTATCGAAAAACACGCCACGCCGCTGGTCTCGAGC